AAAAAAACTATTATACCAAATATAATCTATGAATAAATATTGAAAAAAGAAAAAAAAAACGAGGGCCATCAACAGCCGCGTGATGGGGCTGCCCAGTGGCAACGGTGCTTAGCCGAGCAAGCCCGTCAGCTAGCCTGAGAACAATCATAGACGGAACAAAAACGAAAGTCAATTCCAATTTATTTGGAATTCGTATATGAAATTCTGGAATCAAATTCTCAGATATTAAAGTTGTTCGTACCCGACGAAAGTAAAACCCAATTACCAGATTTTGATGAACAGATCGGATGAAGAAGATGGCGAAGCCCCTGGCACCAAATCCCCGAATTTTACAACACAAAATTAATTCCAAATTAATTTTGTTATTATCATTAAAACCAACATGTAATTCCAATTCCCATATTCAGGGAAATTTTTTTTTTTGCAGAGATGAACATTGAGGTGGTTTTGCAGAGATGGTTTTGCAAAGAGATGATAGCAGAGAGAGTGGGTCCGTTCTTTTTGGTAATTATATGTTTGATTCAATTAATTATGCCAATAGTATTTAATTTACCCCGATATTTGGTGATAACTGTTACATGGGCATCATTTAAAATTCTATGTATAAGTGTAAATATTTTAGGTTTGTTTTGTAATTTTATACATAAAATTATAATTAGTGTATAAGTGTAATATATATCATAACTGACAATAAGAGAGGTAAATTCTTCTAATTTATTTAAATGGACCAAACCTAACACGAATGCATAGTATTAGCCCAAGAGTCTGGTCTGCCTCCCCCAAATAAATTGAGGTCCTAGGCAAGAGTCTGGTCTGCCTCCCCCAAGAGGCTGCACTAAAGCTCAAGGTTAAAAAAAAAAATTGCACTACGCCCTTGGGTGATACCATTGTCTAACTTATAATTTTAATGTTATATACATACAAATGCATAATACTTTATTTATATATGTGCAAATATGGTCGAATACTAGTATATATTGGTCTACTAAAATACTCCTTGTATATGTTACAATAGTATAGCACACGCATTTAATAGTAATTTTATTTTTTCGCTTACAAAATTTCAAGCCAAACTCAAATATCTTGATTTCGAGTAGAACTCGAGCAATTGTACATTTTTATCGAGTAAATCCCAACCCTCATAAATCGAGTTCGAGCAGCTAAAAAAAAAATCAATTCCACTCAATAAAGTCAATGCTCAACTCATCTCGACTTGACTCGTTTGCAGCAGTGGTACGTATAATCACATGTATATAAACATTTGTTAAATCTAAAAATGTTTGGTCCTAGTGCCGTCACTCAGTCTATGAACCGATTTTGTGCACAACCGCTTTGATTTTGTTTCAATTAAATAAGCAAAAAAATTTAATAAAACAAATAAAAAACTTCATCTACTTTCCAGCGCACCATATAGTTCGGTCAGAAGTTTCTATATAAACAGAACCAGAAAGCGAGTCACACACATCACATGTGTGGCTGGCTTGCATCCGTTTCACCACTCTTCCTCTCCAAATCCCTCAATCGCAATCACCTCCGACCACCAACGACCACCGTCCATGGCGGCCAGATTATCCATCTCCACCTCCTCCACAGCCTCCGCCAACTTCAATCGACCGCTGCCGCCCCACCCAAAACCAACCACCTCGCTGGCCGCGCCACCGGCTCTGCTGCTCACCCCCTCCGCCCTAAAATTTGGCCGGGTTTTGAGGAAAAAACATAATCTGACCGTACGTATGGTGATGGACAGAGGGGAGTCTAGCGGCGGAGCTCAGCCCGCCGGAATTCCAGATCTGGCGGAGGAAAGCGCGGCGGCGCGCGCGGTGGAGAGGGCGGCGAGAAAGAAATCTGAGAGAACCACTTATCAGGTTGCGGCGTTCATGTCGAGCTTCGGAATCACGTCAATGGCGGTCCTGGCCGTTTACTACAGATTCTCCTGGCAAATGGAGGTAAATTTCGGTTAACTTTATTTTTTTTTTTTTCAGTCATTTACTTAGCTTGATTAATTAATTTTTTTTTACAACAAATATAATTCGATTTATATTGAATTTTCTGAGCTAGTCAGAGTTCACTCTGTGTGTATGTGTGTGTTTTTGAGATTCTTTTTTTTTTAATTTATATATATATATATATAT